CCCCCCACCACTCCCATTCTCACAGATGGCAAAATAGTGAACTGCAGTTTGTCTTCCCATTAAAATGCTTTACAAATTCAGAATAAGTGGCGTCCAAATTAAGTTCTCAAAACTACACGACAAGGAAGACCCAGTTTAATAGTAGAGAAAGTGACAATTTTATCTCCTCAAAATATAAACACTTCTAGGAATAAATTAGATTTTCTCCAACAGAATGGAAAATCCATTTGTCTACTTTTTTGTTTGCAAAAGTTGTCACACTAGAGTGTGATATTCTCATATACATGTTTCTGTTTTAAATTTGTCGTAGCATCACATTTTTTTAACCCTCTATTGGGGATACCATTAAATTGCAGCCTAGCATCCTGCTTAAAAGCAGGAACTCTCAGCTTGACCATTTTCTGCCTGAACTGAATAACCTATATCAGTTAGTGTAAATGCTGTTTCTTGGTTTTCTCATCTGTAAAATGAGGGTAACAGGAGTATCTACTACATAGTGGCTATAAAGATTAATATATTTAAGGCACTTAGAAGGGTCTTTGGCTGATAATAAGTGCCATATAAGTGTTATTATTATCATTCCTACCATTAGTATAAAGAGAACAGAGATATTATTGGGCTTCTTTATTTTTAATTGCTCTATTACAAACATCTTTCTTTGTAAGTACCTCCAGGATCAACCCATAGAAGAAACATGAGGTAGAATTTGAATGCCATAATTAGTGTCATACTTAGGACTGCATGAGCAGATTTCAAGATAATGGATTTATATACAAGACACATAAAAATAACTAGTGATTTGGAAAGTCACAGTATAAAACACCACTAATATGATTTATATGTGGTTGATTATCTTCAAATTAGAAATGTTCTGAGAAGATTTTCTTGACTATTTATGGCCCCTTTTCTCTATCCTGTATCAACAGTAACACTGTAAAAATACACTTGACAAATATCAGTCCCCTCTGGTATAGTAACAATGTTGTTATTGAATTAGTGATACATGTCACTGCTTTCTTTGGCCAATTAAAAAGAAAGCAATTAAACAGTTTTCATACATTGTCTTTTATCACTCTAACGTCTCATCGAAATGCACTTTGTGTAATAGTTCATTGACATATATAATTCACATACCAATCAGTTCACTAATTTAATGCATATAATTTAGTGGTTTTAAGTACACGTACAGAGTTGTACAACAATCACTACAGTCAAGTTTAGAGCATTTGCATCACCCCAAAAACAAACTCCCTACCCATTAGCAGTCACTCTCCACTCCCCCTTCCCACCCTTCCACCCCCCCTCGCCAAT